AGCAGGCAGATTTGGAACAGTGAGAAGAGCTTATGCATCTATCTGCCTGCTAATTTTAGGGATACGTTGTGGTGTAGGTTTGAACCTGAGCATGTACACACGGTTTATTTCGCGCTAGAAACGAGCCGTCTCACGGAATGTCTAACGGCGATACCCGATGCAGAACTCGAAACACAGAGAGAGCTTTTTGCAAATGATATTCCAGAATATGTTATAACTGTGCTTTCTCTATTTTTGTATTTTTAGTTACACTTACTATTTGTTTCTCGTAAATATAAACCCAGTTGAAACTTATGTCTATTCGACTCTACACTGTAGTATACACAATTATATGTGACTTCATTCAGTATATGAATTCTACAAATTCATCTCCTTATGTCACATTTATTTGCTTTTTGTCTATCGACTTTTCCTTTACGAGCTACTAACCGTGCTGGTGTGGATCTCAACTGCATGCCACCGTGCTTCAAGCTTCAAAGCCCTGTGAAAGTTACATAGCTTTTTGGACGAGCTTAAATCTATGGCTACTTGCAGATAGAGATAAGTATGCAGCGTGCGCTTGTACGATTCTTATTTTAAAAATAGAATTTCTGCAGTAGCAAAAAAAAGCATCGGCATCTGTCAAAGTATGAAGATTCCACTTTCCAGTTAATAGATTTCTCTGTTCTAAAATTGAATCCACCCAAATCACAAGCTAGTAAGATACTGTGAATGGAAAGGTTGTTTCTTTTTAATCTTATAGGCTGAGTGAAGCTTACAGATGTCGATAGACAACATAATTGCATCTGTTTATCTATCTACCTTACGATCGGCTGTTTGCATCTACCTGAAACTTTCCAGGACAATTATTTTGACTACCAACGCGTGTCCTGTTGTTTTAATCGAACTGTTGTCGTTCGAAGTGGCGATTTAATAAGCTCAGTCCAAGAGCTCCAAAAGACGCCTGTCAGGCATTATTTTTTCTTTATTTTTTGTGCTAGAAGGTGTTTTCAAGACAAAAAGAATTGCTTGCAAAGTCAAAAGCGACCGTATAGAGCCTTACTATTTTCCAGTTTCGGTTTAATCGCTTCAGAGCCGGAAGGTTTAACTTAAGAAATAAACCGTGCCTCAGCCTGCTACACCACGGGATCGACGAACAATTGCAGGCGCTTCCTAGACAAAGGACAACCTGGTCGATCCAAGAGCTCTCCGCAGAGCTAAGAGTGACCCAGTCGGTTGCATGTATTAAGAAAGATCGGAAGGAAAGGGAAGTGAATCCCCATAGAGAAAAATGTCAAAAAAGAAAAACAAAACTTTTGACAATATGGTTGCACGATAGAAGGGAAATCACTTCCCTACGACATCGTTACCAGCTATGAAACATTGATCCTTCACAATGCTTTTCAACGCGAACCAAAATGGTTGGATCAAACAAGTTCGATGCTACAAAAACCTATTAGTGATTAAAAGCTGTATGTCTGCATACGGTGCAATGAGAAGGAAGTGGTCTATTATGAGCTACTCATCTCCCAAAAATAACTACAGGATACAGTCACCTTATCCGTCTAAGCTATGGAATTGATGGAAAAAGCTCTGGACTGGCAAAAAACGACGCAAGGTGATATTGTTGCATAATGTCCCTGCAACGCGTATTGCTTTGATAATTCAGCGAATGCCAACGGACCTCCGGTGGGGAACCTTAACCCACCAGGAGTACATCCTGATATAGTTGCATCTGATTATTTTTGGTCTCTGTCAATGTAACATAAACAGAAACTTAAACAAATTATAAAAGAGGCTGAAATCCGTAAATGGGTCAACGAATGACCCGATTCCAAGTACGAAGCCTTTTTGCTTTAGAGCGAGAAATATCAGCTTTTAGATTTTGATCGACGGAAATCGTAAAAAGCAAATCACAACTTTGACCAAACTATGTTCGCTTGCCCGAAAGATGCAATAAATTTAAGTGGTTAGAAAACAACATGAACGTTTCACTTAGCCTAAAATTTGTTCCTTCTTGTCGATGTCAAACGATGAGGGTTTTCGTGAATGAACATAACTCTAAAACTCGAATCCCTCGTACAAAACGTCCTGATTCAGATTCCACAACAAACATTTTTGCAGTTGTCTTTTCAAAGATGCAAAATTTCGGTAGTTATTATTAAAGAATAGTGATGGGTGGCCATGTGAATAGCCTTAACATATTTGTCCTAAGAACAAAATCTGGCTGTCGGGACCACTATTATTATTGTTTTTTTTTTACCAAATATCAAAGTAGATAGAAGACCAGAGAAACATGGTTTACTGCAGTGTAAAGTACTTAGCCAAAAGACCGAATCTGTTTTCTGTGTGAAATACATCACTTAGTCAATGCTTTTAATAACAATAGTACCAAAGAACACCATTGTGATGCCATAAGATCGATATATTTTAATCTTTCGAACAAGCTCATTATTGAATCTGAATATTTATTATGGAACCTATTCAAAAGTAAATATCTTTCAAGATTTCAATTTCAATCATAATTGCTAATCCAGTTTAAATAGTTCACTCAACCCAACCTAATTACAGGATAATAGATAATATTAGCTACGAGAGTTCTGCCTCCTAATTGTCATTGTGGAGAGATGGTGAATTTGATGAATAAATAACTTGTCCACATAAATTTTGCAGTGTAGTTGTGTAATGTCGATCCTGGAACTTGAAGCGGCGACCTCCTCCGGTCTCCTTCTATTGAAGGCTTACCCATCTCTCTGTTTCGAGTTTTAAGTCCGGTATTGCCGTTAGGCATCCTATCTGATGGCTGGCTCCTAGCTATCACGAAATGATGTTCCAATGATAGCTTAGCGAGCAACGTATTTGCCTCCTAATCCTAGGAACACGTTGTGCGCTAGCTTCGAACCTGGGCGTGGGCACATGGTTCGTTTCGTGCTGGGAGTCGGTCGTCTGATGGAATGCCAAACGACGACACTGGACGTAAACTCGAAATCTAGGAAGCTTAACCATTTACACCAGGTCAAATTTGATGAATAACAGTCAATTAAATAATTTTCTGGCTTAGAATAGACTCTACGGAATTGCCTGTCCCAAGTACCGGCAACCTAGCACATTTCTATCAAGCAAAAGGCACGTAGGAACGAAGCTTCTTGTGGCAAACCTAATACAGAGCTGCGCATGGTCCAAAGTAGGTGTAATGTTTCGGTTCAGTGCTTCCATCGATTATTATTGCTGGGCACTGCATGAGCGACATTTGCTTTTTCGCCCCTCATACAGCGTCCAGCAGTCGGGCTGCTGAGGGATATTTATTTACTGATATCTAAGCAGCTATTTTTTTTTCTCGTGTAATGCAATGGGAGAAAGGTGGCCTTGCTAACCTGGCTCGGCTCCAGCTGGGCTGGAACTCAGCCAGGTTTTTTCGTTTCTCGTTGGCCTTGGCCTCGTCCTTGGGAAAAGTGCCTTTCCTTTACCTCCGTTAAAGGGTGGAGTTGCGGAGGACATCACAGACATAAAGGCGGGTTTTAGTATGTTCTGTAGGGACCGTTGCAGCTCGCAGTGCCGTTAGACGCAATCCAAATTCTTTGATTTTATAGTATATAGAAAGAATATAACATATATTTGAGTCGTACTGTACAGTCGTACTGTGTTTACTGTGTGATAAAATGTGCTTTAAACAATTTATTTCTTTTTATAATTTGTATATATATATATGTTAAAAAACATCGTTGTTAACAAACATAATATACAATAATCGCTCTTTATTTTGGTCTTCATAAGAATAATGAATTGCATGAATTGTTCCAGGAGACAACTTGTTTGCTAGTAATATAGGGCAAAAGGCATTGTGTTGGATTTTCTTTTAATTTGCAAACGATAAAATTTTTATTTGGAAATTGTCATTTTTACAATCTGAGCTCGAGAAAATGAGTTGGACTGATATAATAGCAAGTGGGCAGCCCATACGCTTACATTGGACCCGTCAACCTTGCAGTAGTTTCGCATTGCATAGTCAGGTAGGGTGCTATTGCGTGCGTTCAGTATGGTTTGTAGAACATGGAAAGCCTTTTGGTTCACCATACTATTTGTTTGTCGCTATTTTATGGCAATTACACAACCGTGGACCGGGAAAAGTGTGCACATGTGCAAAATATTTACGTGCTAAAGGCCTAAGACTGCCCTTGCAAAAGTTTACTTTCGATACGAATAATAAACAATATAGATAATTTGTTTTACTTGTACATGGGTCACAAGTAAACCTGAACTGAATTTGACGAACCCCTTTGTAGTTTGTGCGATAACAGCAAATGGACTTGCACCTTTTTGTGCGGAATGGTGCCCTAAACTGGTCCTAAAATTATTGGCCCTGAATAATCTCAGCATTGTGTGAATGGCGTTGTTTGTACTAATAATTCAAAATACAATAAGAATCTTAAAATGCATCGTGAAGAAAGTGGCAGGTCGTTTCATGCAGCCCATCAAGATACGGTTCTGCTTCTCTGCAGTTAAAAATTTAAATTAGAGTTAGAAATAAAGTGACTATTCAATTAGTTTTAACCCATATAAAATTGACCTTGAGCGACGTATTCTGGCGTAACAAAAATTTCAAAAAAAGCTGAAAAGCGCTCATAATTTTTTTGGTGGTATCACATTTGTAATACAAAGCTAAATATCTATAGAAACGTACGTTGATGTTGATACGCATTAGCAACAGGGTATTTGTAAAAAAAGAAGAAGAAGATTATACCTAAAACATGACGTTGGTACAAGTAAAAATTTCCGAAACAAGTATATTGACCCGGCTAAGGACGTGAAGCGCTCATAGAACTAAATTCAAAGGGACTCGGGACTTCAATTCGCTTGGGTTGTTACAATTAATTACCCGCCATCGATTTCTCTTTATTAAAAGACAATTCAAGGAAGCTACTCAGAAAACGAATCCTTTATCATACCTTTTTTTTTTTTATAGGATATTTACATTTCGTTTACAGGCACTAACTTCTGCTTCTATGTGTTTGCCATGGTAGGATGAAACTTCGGCCAGCGTTTGCTATCTGTATATACTAAACTCACGCTGCTCGTAGACCCTGGTCTGGCGTTGGTACTTCCTGTAATGTCACGTACAGTCCGGCACTACTTTGGCATCAGCTGATCATTTCAAGGTACTTAAATTTAAAAATGTCCAATGGAAGCCCATTTTTAAAAAAATGTGTAATTTTTTCTGTCGCATCGAACTAATTGGTAAGTAGCCACTTCAAGGCCGCTATCCCATCTCCGCCGTGGCTGCTTAATGCACCGATTTTTTACGTTGAATATGCATTTAGGATACACTATTTTGTTTGGAAGCCTTTTTTACTGTTATGAGAGTACTTTCTGCTATTTTGTGGGCTTACACTCGATTATTAATTAAGTCCACTTTATGCACGTAACACTATTCCGTCTGTGCTTCTTTATGCTGCCTGCCTGCCTGCCTGCCTGCTCTACAATGTGGTCTCTGTATGTCTGAAGCAATGCCTGGCGGCACGAAACATGACTTCAAAAAAGTCAATTAATATATCGTTTTTGCGTACTTCTATTCGAAGGGGTAGTGAACATTTTGTGATTGATTCCCTATAAAGTTGCCCAGCCGTTTACTGTATATGTAATAATAACAGGCTTTATTTGTTTGGCATTTTGTTACCTTATTAAATGACATTTCTAATGTACATGGCAGTAAGAGATACGTCTACTATGTAAATATACAGTCAAGTGAGGTAAGTTACATTAGGAACTACAAAACACGCGGTTGTCTTGTGCGGCTCGAGATTTACCTGTTATCCCATCGGCATAGTCATTTTGACCCTACCTACTACCTAATAGAGCCTTTTTTTCCGCATTTCACTTATTGGCCCGGATGAAACAAGACTACATTTCAGATATATATTAGCAATACATAAAATACTATATTAGACAAATCCATCCAGTCAGCTGCATATTACTAGCTTCGCCAGTTAACTTTCGAGATAAAAACGATCCACGCTGGAAAGAATGTATTCCTATCTTCAGTGAAGTCAAATTATCTCTAATTCTAACTTGAGGGACATTTACGATACATATACTATGTGCTGACGAAGTAATCAGGTTAAATTATAATATGACCATACTGATAAAACAATGTTGGCCGTTACCCATGAAACTGTAGAATGATAGTGACTTTAATAAAGGTATCCCTACAAGTCCACTAAGGTTGGTTTGCTAAATGGGCAGGGTATTTTATGAGATGTCATCGTCCAATCCATCTTTTTAGAAGGTTCTCATCAGATGCTCTTACATAACAGTGACAGAGTGTAGGTGTTTCGTTCTATTGAAAATCAAACGCTGATTTGATAGCTGATACCGTTATGGGAACGTATTTTTCCATTTACAGAGTCTGAAGAAAGCGATGAATACTTAGTTTTCTATCCTATCTTAAATGTATGGGATGCTTCGTTATAATCCGTTAATTTCTTCGTTAGCTTCTAGATGTCTATGAACATCCATAATACTTTTATCCGTTTCAAACTTACTTTTTACTGAATTATTATTGTAAGTCTAGGTGGATCTATTTGAATTGTCTTCCCACTTCTATAATACCTTGATACCTCCAGTGGATAAAAATAAATTTTCTTGATTTAGAAGTTAATCTTGATTCGTTAATGATTAATTACACCGTGATAAAAAAAGATCAGAAACTTATGACGTGATATATCTACTACTTAATTCTCAAAAATTACATGGTCTTACCTAGGCACATTATATACGTTTTCACTTTAAGATAGTTCATAGGTCCGTCTTCCTAAAAGCTAAAGCCATCCAATCGTAGGCTACTATGGCCAAAACCTGCAGACCTTGCTACACATTAATCGGGTTTCTACGAGCAATGACAAGCTTGTGTCTGTCTTGCCAGAAGCTCCCAGCAGATGGGTAAACAAAAAGTTAACCAAGTACTTCATGAAAGTCAGCGTCTGATAATAGAAAGTATAGTCATTTCTTCAGTTCTTCAAACGCATTATTATTTCAGATTGCGTATATATATCAATAAGCCTAATTGTGATTCTCTCGGCACATACACACATATATATGTATATTAGATTTATAATTGGGATCGAATAGTTTTACAGCAGAATGAAGCAAATAAGAAATCAACAAAAGCTATTGGTACGTTTCTAAATATGTATTAATACTGCCAAGTGATATATAAGGTCCTCTTCATCGAACTTCGAAAAATTTCATCGAATGTTTCGAAAAGCTTATAAGTGAAGATAACGTAGAAATATTTTGGAAATAGTACCGAACCTCCTTCGAATACAAATGTCTTATTCGAGTAATCTTTTACATATTTTTTTCTAAGGCTGGTATTGAAGGCTTAGTTTATGCAATAATGATTTAGAGTCGCCTTTAAACTATCATGCCACTTCGGCCTATTATAATTTACAATGATAGTAAGGAAAGGCCTTCTACCTTAAAAGTTAACTCAAAAAAGCTTTCCAGTAAGGACTCTGCTCGTTATAAATGTAAACGATTTCTTTGTGAGTTTCTTTACATAGGTAACCAATAACATATTAAAACGAATAGGAACTTAAATGGCAGTCTAAAGGAATCGATAAAAGTACCAACATAAACCATGATCTAAGCAAAGCTCCAAAGGAACAAGGTGCAACTGCATCAAAATGCCCACCTCGTACCAACGTCCACCGATCACGTCCTGTAGTACAGTCGTAAAGCTGAGGGAGTTCCAGTCGCTATTTTTACATACATATTTTTTACTGCACGAAAGAAGTACGTTACTATAGCAGCAACTACTTTATAGCGTTCGTTTGACTTTTAAGGACAAAAGAGCTTTTATATATCCTTATTACTTTACTACTATGCCACGCAGTTCGTTCCGACAATGATGCAGTGGCGCTGAACGTTATAGCGGGCCGTCATACTGAATTCAATCAGCCACAATAGAAAACGCGTAATATATGTTGATTCGGTTTGATCATTATGCCCAAAAATTTACACACCTATACGATTTGCACCCTTAATTGTGCTTTGAAAACAGTACGGTGTCATAAGGATCTATATATGCCTTACATCATATGTACTGTAAGGTTCTTGGTAGGTAAATGGGCATGGCCGTGAACAAGCAGTTTAAGTAGAAAATGGCAACATCACGTTCAAGCTGGAACATACTATGTCAGATGTAAAGGCAAATGGTAAATTAACAAAATAAAGAAGGAGTGCATATTCGAGCTGCTTCAAATAAATCCGAAATAATCTTTGTAACCGTATATTGTATCCAGAATTTAAAATTTTCGAATTTATGCAATTATACAATAAATGCGTCGTCGGAATATTTCTATATCCATTATTTTTACACTATAATATGTAATTACTGTTCGTTTCAACAATTCTTTTGACAAGCCGAAGCTCAGACTTTGCAAAATTTTTCTTTTGAAATTTATGCAAAAAACTAACGACGACAACAAAGAAAATGAGATGAACATAATAAAACATATTCAGTTTTTGCTCACACACTCACATTATACCTTACACTCAAAGGCGTCCATCTCCCACAACTCATTGCCGGCCCATTTTTTCCACCCTTAATCTATATACTTTCGCAATATATATATATATATATATATGTATATATATATTTCCTCGTTGATAGCAACATTATCTCGATACATTTGCTCTTTCCTTCATTAATACATCTATGGCGCTTGTTATTGCTTTTTTTTTTGTCATTTTCGTTTTATTATTTATTTTTTTCAACTCCAACTATGTACGAGGGTGGAGTTGAATTATTTTTAGAAAAAATTATCTAAACTACTTAAGTGAATATACATTGGATCTTTTTACGATTATTGTTACAATTGGTAATAATTTTCAAACTGACTTCTTCAAACAATTAAGAGTAAAAACAATAAACACTGCATCTGCTACTGTTTTTACTACAGCAAGCCCTGAACTAAATGGGGCTTTGTTTATCTGTATGAAAGGAGAGCTCGAAAAGTTTTAAGTGCGGTTTCAGCTCAATGCTTGGACCGACATCTTCGACTGTAATAATTACTAAATCCTCGGAATAACTTAGCTCGATACCAACATTGATAATTTCTGCAAGCGGTTTTAAGGAGCATTAACGTGCGGTGCGATGCTACTTAAAAACAACGGTTTAAGGATTTCTAAATCCAGCAAAATGGATTCTTTAGCAGGAAACATTATATTCGCTATTTAGAATGCACGCCTTACAGGATATCTTATATTTTTCACTTGGAGCTAATAAGAAACACATATATAAACTAGGTCGTCCTTATATTCGGTGAAGGATCTCTGAAACGACTAAAGCCTCCGGAGAACTCCATAACACTCCATGCATTGTCGTATTCGTCACGCATAATCATATATGGTAATATTGCTGGAAAGCTCGGCTCTTGGGGGACACGTGGGCCCAAGCAGTGAGACATGTAAAGGACGACCAGACCACCTGTCCAGAAGATGTACAATAGCCTCAACACGCACCCTCTTTAACGCCATATTGAAAAGGGCAAGGCCAAACGCTTGACGTAGGTGCATGATGCTGCTACTAAGCCTGGCAATACTCTCTGTGATCGCTGGCTATTTTACTGGTTCAGCACTGGCCAGTCAGTCCCATTAACCTTGAAAGAACCGATAGGCATACATATATATGGTTTCCTAATTTTCTAGGTCGGTGAACCTCAAGTGCTCACGATCCATGGTGAAAGCAATGACCTCTCTTTCCGACGCAGCTGTTAACACTTAGTCATCTCCTGTTATAGTTGTTGTAAGTTTCTGAATCGATTGTTTATGATACACGTTTTAGTAGAACTAGGTCGTCAATTCTGAGCCTGCTTAATGAGTGGGCTAGCACGGCATTTTGCGTAACCAGCGACTAGCACAAGGGATAATGCTCAGTTCACTGTTATTATAAATATACAATATGTACAGTCAATTGTGCTACAATTGCCTTTGGGGAACCGTAGTATTCTACCGTGTTGCTGGATCGAAGCAGGCACTGAGCTTTGTATAGTAACGTAGAAACAAATTAACAATTTAAAGGTTTCAGTTATTCAAAATAAGCTCGCTAAAAGCTACTTTTCGCTTAGGACAAGTGGCTAAACTAAAAATGCTGTTACATTATTTTCGAAACGACGAGTCTTCTGATAACATATAGCTAATTCTCTTAGCAGACTGGCCGCTTATATATGCGAAATCTGGCTCAGACTACGCAACACACGCAAACTTTTGACTTAGGCGTTTTTTAATGGTTTCCTCCTACCCTTTTATTTTTAGATAGCGCGTTTAAATAGTCGATTTGATACACTGTTGTTTTTTCCTGTTGTCAAGTTCGCGCTAATCAAGCCTAATCGACCTTTAAAGTCATCTTTTTTTTTGAAAAGTGTCTTCGAGTTGTGTAAATGTAGCGTCCTTAAGGCCACTGTAGTAATCGCGCAGTGAAACACTACGTTTTATAACGTAATAACAACAGTAGTAAGCGCATGACTATCTGAGACTCGATAACGCTCGCATGACGAGGGTCGGGATTATATTTAGGCGCGCCTTTGTGGTAAAAGGATGACACTGTGCTAGTCGGCGTAATTTTCTAAATCAACTGAAGCATGATCCAGTGAGGTCTGAATGCAACATTACTTCAGGACGTCCATTGAGTGGCCAAAGATAATTGAGCATATGTGCAAAGACCTAAACCCAGAGCCCATCAAGCTCGTACATAGCAATTGCTTGTTCGCGCCGGCTGTCACCCTGGCATCTCATTGCATGTAATCCTAAAGAGGGGCACCGTTGACTTGGCCAAATCGTGGACAAACCCGATCTGACTGACTGAGTAAAAAACAGCACACTCAGAAAAAGCATATTTTTTTGCGCAGCTCATCAAAAACGAACGCGGGCATAACGTTTGAACAAAGAAAATTATTCAAAGTGTTTCTATTAAAGCCAGCAATCAGTAGGCAAAGTGGGCATCGTCTACCATCTCGATACCTAAGTCGAAAGTAACAGCGAATCCCTATTGTAGAATATTACAGACGCTTAGTTACCCGAAAATAGAATCCACAACGTAGTTTTACAAAAATCATACGAATATAGCTACTCGTATCTGAGTTGAGCTACTGAATAACAAATATGGATATACTTGTCTTAGCTAGCAGTAGATCGGGCACAAAAACCGAGTGACATATAGAATAAATGCAAAGAGCATCTGTGATTGCGAAGTCTATATTTGAAGATGTAGAACACTTGTGACCAGTTTATCAAGTTTTATTTTAATGAGTTCACTATATTGAAGTAAAAACACTATAATAAAATGACGACACAACTTCTATAGAAGCGTCATTGGACTACTCTATGGTGACAAAATATATGAAAGTTGGCATAAAATCCCATGTGAAATTTTTCAGGTTCGGCACCTCGGCTGAATCTACCTTAGTAAACCGACATTGCACTTGACTCGATGAACTTAGAGCGGAGTTCTCCAGATCAACTTTTCTTCGAGCACATGCGCCTTTTCACCCTTGCTCGTAGCAGTCTCGATAGGCGTACGTCGGGCCGTCGACAGAAGTAAGGCATATTCACAGAACTGAGGTCCAAACAGGGCCTGAACCTTTAAGATTTGGCAGAAATATTTTGTAAAGGAAAAAAGCAGCTAAGCCATTATATTTGGTACTACTCGGTTGAGTGTTTGATGCTTTGTCTCACTCCACTGTGTATCCTTGAAGTGCTTGAGACCTTTATTCTAGCAAGCTGGATTTAGTTGGCTAAGTGGTCGGACCACTATACCGCATGATGATGAAATATCGATTATTTGGGGAATCCATTACCAAAAACAGCCGTAATTATTGAAGTTCCGAAGAATTTCTCACTAAAAACCGCGATAATTATAAGGAAATTCCTGTGCGCCGCATAGATTACCGCTGATATCTTACAGCTAGTCAGCTTCGCGGACCTGATAGCGTCAAGTGTTTCATGCGCTTCTATCTTCTGTTGAAAAATTAGCTGGACCACTTGCTTTGCAAGGCACCTCTGTTTATTATTTGACCTGCAAAAAACTAGCCTACCTAGAGTTTACGAGCCTCTCTGCCTAATGTCGACTTGATGTTCGGCAATTTCATCGATCAACGCCTCCTAACGATAGACCCTTAGCATGTTTTCTTCTGAAAGAACTAATGATTAAGTTAATAATAAAATCGCTTTTGTACCCGATTTCAGGCGAAGTGTATTACACCGCTAGCGAGGAAACTATGTAATAGAACTCACGCTGCTTTCAAAAGCGAGTTGAAAGCCTGCATTACAAGGTACCGTCCTGCCGACAATGAAGTTTCGGAGCTGCCACAATTGGTCGCTGCTTCGAGCGGACAACCGGGACTGTTCAATGGACACAGTCCCAGCAGTTGATTGCACAGCGGATCCAGAGTTTTGGGCAAGCGTTTGGAGTCTTCAAGCCACCGAGAAAATAGCGGCAGAAGAAATCTGTAATAGTAATCACGTTGTCGGAAGAAGCGTGGGAAATGTAGACTCGAGAAGTGTTACGCCAACGAGTCCAGCAAAGCCAAATGCTTCAGCATCCGTGAATGGTGTCACTAGCAGGAATTCAGTCTCAGTCGAACGATCACCTCTTATGAAACATCCTCCTACTCAGTCAACCGCTTCAGCTGAGCAGACGACAATTCCTAGTAGCATGGCACCACGTGCGCTACAATTTAGCCAGCAGTTGCCAGAGCCTCCTTTGGTGCTCAGTGGGGCTCGAAGAGCAATACTTACTAGATCTCTAAGTGTTGGTTCACAACGCGTTGTTCCTATAAGCAGCCCGCGCATGTGTTTGCCCAAGCACAGCGGTGTGGTCAATCCATCCATCACTGTCAACCCTACCGTATCTATCCTTCCGTTAAACAATTCGGTGATGTCTAGCTTTCCGGCCAGCACATCAGGCAGTCTAATTAGCTCGTCACCACCATTGACTTCAATTACGCCAACAAATGGCTTGGGCGAAAATAATTTCTCCCTACTTAAGTCTTCAAATCCATTCTCCTCTCTAGCACGCGTTACGGCGTTCGAACGCCCACTTCGATCGGCCTTGAAATCGGAGCGTTCGTTCGAATGTCACACGACGCTCGAGAATCACGGAAATCGCAGATTCGGTGGACAGGGAACACGAACCGTCATCATCAAGAGTGTCTTCTACGATTCTACTGTCGAACTAGATGATGGATGTAGAGCTGCAGTCAAATTTGACGCAAACGGGAATAACATTAGTATGGGTAAAAACGGGAGCAGGAACAACAATCATAATTATTATTATAATAATAACAGTATAACACCCACTGGATGCCAGTTCGAGTCTGCGACAGCATCTCCTTGGGCAGCATCGTGTAATTCGACCAATAGCCTAAACGCACCAATCGGAGGAAGCAGCATTGTGTTTAATGGAACCTATCCAATTGATGAGCCTATCACTGATCTAAGCAGCAGAACTGAGGTCGTTGGGTGCTCGCGGCCATTGCGTGTGTCATGATCTCACACTGAGATGCAATGAGAAAGAGACGCCCTGAAATTGAGTATATATATCCGCACGGCAATAGCCAGGCAACGACTAACGAAGATTATAACGGGCTGTCTTGATAAATCTTAATATAGTGGAATGCCGAGGTTTTTTTTTGATGCAAGGTGCTATGGAAGGTCCGCTGGTTTTGATAAACACGTTTGATACTGGAAATTCAAATCAGGATTCGTTACGACTGGAAGTCATACTTAGCGGATAGTACTTACTGTTATTGGAAAGCCTAAATATTTAGTATATTATTATTATCAAATATTTATATTATAAACGTAAAATAAAAAACTTGATTATTTAAATTTACTGAAAATGTATTTAAGCCACACTTATTCATAAACGTTTAACGTACGAGACGTCACATAACAATAATGACTTGGGTCACCGTTAAAGTTAGCGCCATCCACAGCCATGAAAAGAATAATAAAGTTCGGCAATGTATTTAAAATTGAGTTTGATTGCTGTGTCTTGATCAATCCTGCTCCATCAATATACTAGGCTTAGTTCACACACATAATCCTAGCGTGCTTTTATTATCAATATTGAAGTATATTATCAACTAGATGCATTTAGCTCTCTCGTTTCGTACTTCCTTGTTCTTTCTGAATCCCACCTAATCAAACAGGTGGAGGCTGGTTATTAGTAGGTCAGCCTATTCAAGGTATCGAAACTTTCAGAACTCGTTTTATGCATCGCTGGCAAAGCATCGTCGGCAAGCGGGACCGCTGAACACTTACTCGAATCGATACAATGACTTACATTGAAAAGGACTCGTTTCAGGTCCTAAATCAACGGGCGATTATGAATGTTTTTTTTTCTTCTTTAATGCAAGGCCATACTTTTAGAACAGTTACTTTAAGTTGGAGAAGTTGAGTCTTTCCATATGTATATGAATATGTATGTACATACACACTGTTATGGCTGTGGATTATAAATATAGTCTTACAAAGTGGAAAGAATGACAGAGATTAGTTTGTTATGAGCGCTCTCAGAGCCCGCGAGATTCAAATACAGCTATAGGTTCCTAATTGCTTTCTAATTGTTCGCTATACGTGATGCAAATATCCAAGACGAAGTCAACAAAACACGAGAACATCTAGATGGTAGGTAACATTTTTTCACCATATTACAGGTAATTTATCATTGGCTCATACGATTTGGCGATGTTGCATAGTTAGCCGTAGGAGTACTATATAGCTAAGTAGGTTGATTTCCGCCCATTTGAGAGCGCATAGAAAAATAAGACCGAAATAATACCTCCAGGGAATGGTTTTTTATTCAATGTTATGGTTAGCAAGAGAGGTCAATGTTAGGAAGATATGTTAATATATAACTAGGACAAACTTGTTGTTAAACAATTAGATAGGTGATAAAATCTAAGATTGATTATTCCCAAAGTAGATCAGGCATTCCATGTACAAGGAAATACTAGACGACTTCCGCATGGATGCAGTCAAGTTTCACTAGAGAATTGTATAGTCAAACTTTATCTCGAAACGTAAAGCTGAACAATAAATGACGAGAAAAATCGTCGATGACCTTGTTACGTTCAGTTGAAACAGCTTCAACTATTCGTTTTAAGTTGTATATTACCAAATACGAGTGTCCATAAGATTTTCGTATTGGCTGTAGGAAATAAACACGAGAAGGTAATAAATAGGGGGTGAAACATAGGTGGCTAGAGTGCCGCCAGACGCCATATTCTCATAGTGCGGTTGTATTGATCCTAGTAGCTTGATGCTAAGAACCCGCTATCTTCACTGAATTTCGAGAAGATGTATGCGCCAAACATCATATGAGCCTAGCTACAGGACCCGGCACGGCGTGCACGTATCATTGAACAGGTTAAGGGGTATTTTGTGGCCTATTCCTTAAGCGCCACTTCAGTGTATATCTTTTTATTTTTGGAAACAAGCAGAATAAAATGCAGTGTGATCACGTGCTTCATGCTTAGTGCATATTTTTGTCCGTGCATCGACGTACTATCTGTTGTTTGGCTTTCAGCCAACAACCAAGTTGTTATGGATTCACGTGAGCAGAATGTTCAAACGTGACAGATGTACGCGAATAAATAAACGTGTAGCAAGCGTAGCTCATTGGTGGCCAATAATAGTAATCGGTTATCTTGTTTAAATCAAATGTCTGCTCTTATAGAGAAGCTTCCTTATATACCATCCTTATGCAGTGGCGTGGTAGTGCAAAAGTTACTGAATTGACCTGCTGACGGCTCAACTGTTACTTCGGCTTTTTTCAATAAAACTTCGGAACCGTTCATCAATAGGTCAAAAAGGTTTTCATGCACGAGGTACGTTAGTCCTGTGTCAACTAAATGTTGACAATCTCTACTCGTTTGTACTACTACGCACATAAAGATCGCTAAATCTTGAATTAGATCTAAAGGTTTGAATTGAAAGACAGATCGTCCAATATAAAGTACTGTTTAAGAAATGTCGTGTCTAGAGATATTACTACTATTATTATTATAGAAGTTGTTAGTTGTAAAACATTTTAAGGGTTGTTTTTTCTTGTTTTCTAATGTAAACTAAATATGAAGTGACATGGCAAAGGAGGTTGTGGATAGCACTTTATTGCCAATACTCTGCATAATTTTGAAAGAATAATCTCTGTTTAGCAGACTTGATATAACATCTACATGTCCGGTCTTCGCGTATATTTACCAAATATGACATGTTCGGATCATTTGAATCAGTTTAGACTTTACTGGCCGATGCAAGATACACACTTATGCTCTAATGACGTAGGGCACTTTGATATAGCCTCCAGTAAACGTAATAATAATTATGCCTTAAAACTAGAGACCATTTAGTAAGAATGAGCTAAGGATTTATCTTAGAAAGGGACATGACAATAGCTCCAGTATCTTGAAGCTATTGTCATGTCCTCTTATGCAAAACATTTATGTTGTTCCGTTTAGATATTCCAGTAACTAAATTAAATCATACAAGTAAATAATATCGATAATCAGAATTGTAATGCTCGAATGCTTTTCTACTAAATATGCAGAACTTGTGTATTACAGCAAATGGAGCCTCTTGTTAATGAAGCCTAAGCCAGATATTTTAACACGACTAGCAGCAAACAAACGTATTCCGCACGCGACACTGCAACCCGTCAATACTTGACCCCCGAGTTGCTCATTCCTATGACAGACATGACTACCAGTTCTTTTAATAATTGTTCACACATTGCAAATGATTCTGCACTACGGCTGCCTGGCGATGGTAAATTCGCGTGTCAAAGAAGCGAAAAGAAGTGCTTCTCAAATATTTCTGTGATGGAACTTCCTAACCCAGTTTACCAAGGTAAAATAGGTTGGTTTGAAGCTGTGAACGATATTTCATTAGAGATGAGTTAATCGGATTGAACCCTTGTGCTAGCGAAATAAAATCGGTATTATATGTTTTTAAGGAATAAAGCTGTTAACAACGTTGCAAAAGGGAGAGCACGGGCGTATCTGGGAAAGGCTGACACCTAGTCATGATCATAAAAGTCGATGAAGTAACACCTATTTTTTTTAGATATTGCGCCGTTGCCTACAAAATTATAATGATGTCATATGTTTCTCTAGGACGACTGTTCTTTCATAACAATATTGTCAGCCGAGCGCTTTTTTAAAATGACTGTGTACTGGTGCATGTGTAGTATGTGCTGATATGTTTGCGTCTGAGTTCTTTTTGTACACGTTTAATTCAGAGCGAATTTCAAAAATATTTTCTTATATCGCACCCGATACTATTGTAAGCAATCTAATTATTTCAATGGAAGTAGCAGTCAACTGTTAAAGATGCTTTGTTTTTGGCAATATATTGCTTTGATTTGGATCTTACAAAGCACCAATTTGCAACGTTATTACAGCGCCATGACCGATGGCACTTTTGCAAAAAAAATTACTGCACCGCGTTTATGAATTAGGAGTTCGTAGAATATTAAAATTTCAGCTAACCTAACTAATATAATATCGCACTGTAATATATAACGGAAGCCTATAGATTCTAAGAGGCTTTATACCCAAAAATAAGTTGCTCGAGATTGTTTCTGAATAATTTTAGGCTCACTAGTGACACCTACCGTGAAACTGAGAAAAAAAACTTTGAGATTGACAGAAAAGTGAATTGTAATTTCGTTCACTTCTTGTGACTATGCAGATATTAGGCTCATAATGTGGGTTGCCATTTTCGTATGCGTTAGGCATGAATTACGCTCTGAGTGAAATCAGATCTATTTTTGTACTGGTAATAGTACTGAGCATCCTTCGGATGTGAGCAATTGGCTACGAAACAGTGTACAGCTTATATGTATAGCTAATGTTAACATTTTATTAATAATGTAAATGTCTATTGAATGTAAGGTGGCAAACTCTCCACCGGCGAACCACTTGACCGGAAACGCGAATACTGGACGGAGAACTTCATAGAAATGCTGCGCCAGGAACATATTATTCCAAAAAACGTTAAGGTGGACCTTAAGCCGCATACTCCAAGACATCAGTTCTGTCTCCCACGAGGAGTGATTCGACTCATTGAGCAGGAATCAGAGGTGTATCAACTCCTGTCATTTCCAAGAGGCGTCCCAGGCGAAGAAGACAACTGCATACAAGCACATCACGCTGTTGGCCGACCATTGTCCCTCAGCGTTAATTACAATAGCGCGAAGCTGAATTTTACCTCTTTAACCAAGCAAATTATGACAGGATCACAGGCAAACCTGGAAAGAGGCGTATGCAAAGAGAGTGGCCCTTTTGACCCTCAAGCTTCTTTTCGACCACAATCAATCAGTCTAAACCAATATGAGTCCCAATATGCAACATTCAACAAATACCAGAGAACGGATACGTTATAGGGACCGATTCACCAGGAAAAATGATTGTAGCAATTTCTGCAACATGTTGGTACGGAAGGAAGAGACTGGGCTTCTAAGCCAGCCAGTAAAGCTGGATAGCATGTTCACAGGCGAGCAGTAATGCATGTTTGTTCTTCGAATCGAATTTAGGTATCTGTGACTAAACAGTGTTCTTTTATACATGCCTGAATATTAATTTAACAACCCGCAAATTTCCTACCTTTTCTACTTCACAGTACATGGCTCTAAAATGTTTCTTTGCATATGATAATCTAAACAAATATATGGAACTCAAGGAAAATTAAATCTTCTTTTAGATTTGGATTTTAACAAGGATCGAGTACAACGCAAACAAGGCATTCTGGCGAAGATGCATTTCTTAAAATCCATGTTTTTGTTCACAATTTGTAATTATAGGTGAAAACATCATAACTGACTTGTTTTACAACTGATTTTTCTGATCTGTCCTTTGTTAACTTCTTTAGGTAAGTTCGAAGGAGCAAACTACGGCTTTGTAATATAAAGTTCCGCAGCTTTGGATCTAGCATCGAATTGACGGAACCAATATTTCATCTATTATACGTAACCTACATTCACCTACTGTAGGGAACTGCAGATTAAATCTTGTTATCTACGTTGTTTGTTGTAGAAAACTTGTTTTTATAACATCTACACCCGTTAGAGAAATAGGGAAAAAACAGGGTGAATTGAGATTTGTTTGCGGCCATTGTACTCCTATTATGCCGCTTGCCAAAATGGAAATACAATAAACGTCTTTTACTTACATCCCTTGTTTACCATATACACTATTTTTAACTGAATGAAGACCCTCGGAGTAAAAATTGGTGTGAATTGTTTATACAGAGAAGACCTTACATTAATTTTAATAAAAAAATCAAAAATTCTAAGAATAAACTTTCATAGTTGATTGTTTTCATTTTGAATATTACAGTTTTCTTTTTACAATTGCAAAAGGGAAGCAAATCTTTTAACACACAATAGAACAGTCGTAACCAACAAACAGCTGGCACACACAAACGAGACGTCTATATTAAACAAATCAATATTTCAACTGCAAAGCTTCTAACAACGAGCCTGTTTTCTGCTTAGACGTAATATAAATCAAGAATCTCCCGAAAGTCAAGCAGCTTAACGCGGGCCATTGCCTTCATTTTACTAAACATGATCGTCTTTAATAGATTTGTAATGCACATTTATTATCATTAAATATATGCACATTTCACAATGCTTGTTAAATCGATATAACAAGCATATATCAGCGATATAATAATTCGATACAAGGCGTACTGTGATACTGCCGGACAAAGGCTTGCGGTGGACAACGTAGGTATAATTAGATATACGTCTAAAAATCTCTCTAATAAAGTACCGTTCAAAATATACTGTTAAAAATAGAATATAAAACGCTCGAAGATACACTGTGTATAGTTTCAAATACTGGTATTTAGCGTTACTTCAAAATGCACTCGATGTGGACATCAAGCCATCGACTGATGTTAAATAAATTCATAAAAAATATTGTCGTAGCCCCAATGAGCCGTTCAAATTTTCTACAAGGTATATAAAGGAGACCTATCACTTCCAGACCGCTAACTACATCCGTACCCTTTATTTATACATGACTTCATCGTCGCTTAACCGTGCTTCGTAAGCAGCATTCGAAGGCTGACCCAGTTGATCCGACTGCGTCGTCTATAGTCCGAGTAAATATAAGCAGGGCTAAACGCCAATGTAGACCCTCTTTCTGATACCTTGTCATCGTATGAAAATATTCAAAGAACTTGTAAGGCATATACATTATCGAGTCCATTATACTTGTTTTGGATAACGTTCACGAAAATTCATTTTTGTGAACGTTATCCAAATCCATTCAAAAAAAAAATTTAATTTTATATGAATTTCATTTGTTGACTGCTCCAAAAAAGCTTTACTGTACCGTTTAAAGTTGGCAGGACGATATCACTGATACAACAGGTAAGCGATATAACGGTTTCCTTGATTGAGAAAGCGAAAATTATTTACTGATAATACTTCGTTGTACTGTTATATTTAATTATGGTCTTCCATCAGAGGAACTAACCTTATTTTAATCTTAGAAGGTTATTATTTCAGCGAACTATACTCTTGACTCGGTAAGTGCTAAACTGAATCAAAAATACTTCAACGTAATGAATTTTAGTAGAGTTATTCCAATTCCAGCTCTATTCTAATATCAAAATTGTTGTAGAAATATAAGCCAATATTGAGCACATATTTGTTATTATTGAAAATCATAGAACTGAAATAAGTATGCGCTATTTGAGTTGTTCCATGTTTCTAATAACGCTATAATTCGATCACTATAATAAAATTTCTGTGGCTTCTGCGGGTGAAAAATTTTGAGAAGTGATTTTTACATGCCTCCGCTGAAATTAGATTACCGTAACGAAGAAAAATCTGCAGAGATCGAAGTAGATGGTAGCTTGATGGCACAAGCTTTAGGCCCTACGGCCGATACATTGAAGCTTTCCATCCAAGAGCGTTCTATTTTTGCCGAGTAGCTAAAGACGTATGTGGTCTAGTGTTGTCATGTATGAAGACGACACCTCTTCTTTTCACTGATTTCCGTCACCTTTTCCCCCTCCCTTCCACTCATTCTTTATAGTCAGCTTTATTCAAGTGGCCTATAGTTATTTTGTGGTGGATGTTTAGTGCTTTGGCGGCCTTATGGCTGATGTGTCGGTCCTGTGAAACTTTGGCAATAATTTCATGAACTTTTTGGTTCGACTACCCTGAGAAGCATCTTTCTTATAATAAATCATTTTCCAGTAATTCATTCCGATTGTAACCAGCACAAATTTGTTTATGGGTCTAGGCGGCTTTGTACTTTTATTGAAGTGAAGTTGTAAAGCATAGCAAATCCTTGCACATTAAAATTTCACGCATCTTCACGCTGATCTTCAGTTATCCATTACTACAAATCTTTTTCAAATGTTACCTGAGATACGTAATTTTGAAACTATTTAACTAGAGAAAATAGTCAATACTCTTTTGACGGTATAATATATGCGATTAATTCTCGTAATATAAACCTCGTAATAATCGTGTAAATGTGGTAAACGAGTTGCTTTTCGTTTAGCAAATTTGATAATCAAAGACTGAGCCCGCCTACATTTAAAAAAAACTACTGGATAGCTGAAGTTACACAACAAGGGTTTCGATACCTCACGATCAAACAGTGCCGGGTTTTTAAAAAGCACAGTCATTTATTCATGAAGCCCGATGCGCATAAAGCTATTTCCACTCAGTTTCTAGCTGAAATTAAATATCACCACCGTACCGTGAATTCCTACTGAAATCACTGTGATTGGTACTTGAACTACGGACCAACAAAGCTTACCGGCTACCGTACGTGTGGTTACTATAAATTTCGTCTTTGTGGGGGGAGAAGTTCGAACAGAAAAGTATAAATCGAATAATTTCGAATAAATGGAGTTTATCTTCGAAAGAAATATTTTGCCACTTTTGTCAACCTGTGCCAGTCTCAACTGTTAAATCTGACTGACAAATCTTCTAAAACGTAAAGTGAGTCAGTATACTTAGCAATTATAATTTTTTAGATTGGAGCGGTAGTGATGGAACACTATAACGTGCTCCATGTTATTCTACCTCTCTACTATATAGCTTTCATCTGTGCTTGTGTGTTACTTGAGAAAAAAAAATCTCTTGGTCTTTTCTTTGTTGCATGTATAATGCGATTTGATTGAAGGGAATTTCGTGTCGAGTTCAAGCTCTAAAGATGGAGGTTCCAAATGAAGGGGAAGCGTGTGTTCGACACCTATACTAATTGTCTATTTGTTGAGCTGCAATGCTGTTGGAGCAGCCTGGGACATTTTTACCGTATAACAAGGACTCTATTAAAAATAGAGTTGCTCAGCGATGTTCACTGAGATAGAATTCTAAACTTGCAAAATGCTTTTGATTACAGTGGGCTATCAAGGGTGATGAAGATTACGTATGGCAAACAAGCCGCTAATTAGCCGAGATGATACACTGTGAACCCTAGAGTATTGTAAGGTGTATTAAATGTATGAACTTTTTCCGATGAAATGAAGAACTTGAAATGGATTAAGCGAACAATATAATACGACTTCTTATCAGTTCTCAGCATTTTACCCGACAACGGACAACACGCAACCATAATAATAGGTCGCTGCACAGATACGTTGCGGCTAACATGAGTGATGTACACAAGCCGATGTGAAAGGTGGAAAGATTAGGTAGCTTCTTGAGGCATGCCTAAACCCTAGACTGAGCCAGATTTATGTCTTAGAAAGACCAGCTATTGCGTTTGGTAAAACTGGAAGACTCCTTTACGCTGGGAAACGCTTGAGAAGGACGAGACCATGAATAAGGATTTGTATCGGGCCCTGTTGCATCCATCGGCCGAAGCTATTCAGCGAAAAACACCCGATGGATTAGGCAAAGTCAGCCCTTCGTGCCGGGCCGTAAAGACCGCGCAACAAAGACTTGAGTAGAAGGTTCTTTTGCACACATCGTGTTCTCAGATCTCGCACCTATAGATTAGCACCTATTTTGATCACTAATAGGTTGAAATAGGAACTCTACATCGTAGAGTAGACGACCTCTATACGTGGCTAGGCAAGTTCTTCAACAGGAAGGGTTTTGGCGAGAAGGAATAAATAAATAGGTTGAGAAATGAGAGAAGGTCCCCGATAGCGACGTTTGTAGATATAATTTGAGTGAAACACCGTATTTTTCGTTAACTGAAAAGCGGCCACTGCCTATACTTCAACCTAATATCTTAGTTGTTGCAGCTGTTGACACGCACAGGTATGAAAATTCTTTAATATAAATTACAAAAATTACTATTTAAAGTCAACTGTCGCTATCGAACGAAATATGCTTTGTGTTCCCTGTTCGTGGAGCAGATCAAAGTAAGCGTAGATGTTAATAAAGTACGTGTGAGTACAACATTTTGTGTTCCAACACGTACCGAAAACAGGTCCATCGATAGCATAATGTCTATATAAAGGGCGGCGGGGCCATATAAGCTAAAATGTATGTAACGCTATTATTAAGAGCAGTCGTTTCGTGATTCGTGGTTATATTTTGTCAGTCAATATTTCGTTATGTCGTGGCCTAAATGCAATCGTTTAGAGAAAATATTACGCATATCGTGCGCTTTTATAGCCCATACGTAATTCTATGCGGGAAAATCTATTGTCCAACAAATTTGGATATAAAATATTGGCCTTATGATTATAGATGGATAATGCAACTTCACTGAACTGGGCCTAGGACCATTGCCAGTATGGACTTCATTAAGCTTGAAAGGTGAAACGAAACTATCAGAAAGTGCGATGTGCGCGTTTTCGTGAAAAGGTGCCTTGACTGTATTGGAGCCTGTGTAAATATCATCGTTTGCATCATTAATGTGAAATATTTATTACGGTGGTGTGTTACAATGGAAACAGGCACACAAGGAGCACCAAGCTACGGTATCTTATACATACATATATAATGATAGAAAAAAAAACTGGGACCCATAGAATCCCAGCATTCTCTACAGTCTTAAACAGACTAATTTTTCTAATTCTTATTTGATCCCGATACCATTCTTTAATACAACCAAAACCAAACACATAGGGATATCGACTGTTCGCAGTCTCAAATTATACACCTTATTTTCTCATTCGACTTTCCACAATTGAAATAAGCACCTTTTTCTTGTGATTTCTCGAATAGTTAAAAATAAATCAGGTGAAAAATTATCTTAAAATATGGTATTTTTTACGACAAGCGTTTGTACCATTAATAATATTCTACAAATCTGTGTTGTATAATATAACAGCTAGTTCTCTTTTTCCCCGTTTACCGAAAACAAGC